GTAAAATGTACGTAAGATTTACCATTTTAACCATTTTTAAGTGTACAATTCAGTGGCATCAAGTACATTCACGATGTGCAACATCACTACCATCATCTCCCCAGGACTTTTTCATCTTCCCAAACCAAAACTCTGTCCTCATTAAACACTAACTCCCCATCTCCACCAGCCCCTGGGAGCCTCTAATCTCCTTTCTGTCTTTATGAGTTTGACAACTTTGGGGACCTCATATAAATGGAATCGTTTCTTTCACTGAGCATAATGTTTTTGAGGTTCATCCACAAATGTAGCATGTGTCAGTGCTTCATTCCTTTTTATGGCTTAATAATGTTTCATTGTGTAATGGACCGCATTTTGTTTATCCATTCATCCATCAATGGACACTTGAGTTGTTTCCACTTTTTGGCTATTATGAATAATGCTGCTATGAACATGGGTGTACAAATATCTGTTTGAGCAGGGACTCAGACAGAAACTTGTACATTCATGTTCACAGTAGCATTAGTCAAAATTCAGATTTTTAAAAAAATAGGGTTTGCCCAATTAAAAAAACAAACATTGAGAATCTAACAAAACCCACTGGAGAGCTGGATTCCACACCCGTTTGCAGCTCTGGTCTCAGAATGCACCACTAGAACCGAGAGGAAAGGGGTTCCTTGAGGCCACGTGACTCACCTGGAGTTTAGGGTGGGCTCGCATGTCATGGAGGACTCACCTTCCCAGTCCCCGGCTTGGAGACCTGGCCTCTCCCTGCAGAAAACAGGCTGAAACATCCAGCCAAGGCCAGAACTTCATGAAAATCTAAGCTACAGAGGAGAGAGCAGTCCCACAGTGGGTTTCCCTCAGGCCTTGCACGGCTCCCCATCAAAGGGCCACCAAAGACTTAGAGGTCACAGCACCTTGGGCTCCTATCTCCTGCTTTCTCCAAATATCCAACAATGGAAACTTGGGCCTGAAGCGCCTTGCCGGCCTCACCCCTATGGCCCGTGATTCTGGATAGAAGCTCCACCTAGGGTGACCAGCCGTCCCAGTTTGCCTGGGACTGTCCCAGTCAAGCTTGGACAGTTGTCACCGTATTACCCACCTTGCTTCCTGGCACCTGCCCATCCATGCCTGTCCATTTCCTTCCCTGACTCGGGCTCACCTGGACATGACTCCGTGTCCTACCTGTCTCCTCTTGCCCCTTCCTGCGCCTCCAATCCAGGTGGGATCCCAGCAGCCCTCAGCTGTCCCTCCTGCCCTTAAGCAAAGGCTCTTTTACATGCGCAGGCCCACAAGGTGGCCTCTGCCCTGAACACCTGATCTTGTGACCCCCGCTAATTGGTCTTACCCTGGAACTCTTTCCGGACCTCTTCTAGTATCCCCAACTCGTCCTTTGGAGCCTGGCCCAAGCAGAGTCAGGCCCCCATAGCCCCCATGCCTCTCTTTTGCCACATTTCGAATCTACTAGTCCCACCCACCCAAGCCATTCCTGGGCTGGAATGGTCCATGATGGCACCCACAACTCTCACCCCTTCTGCTACAAATCTCAGCTCAAAGTCAGCACTGCCCTAGGCTCCTGATTTAAGATCGCAATCCCTACCCCCATCCCCAGCTTTCATTTCCCCCCACTTCCTGTTATCACCCCCTTTCTGCTTTGGTTTTCCCCGTACACTATCAGACTAAATGATTTACTTTGCTGCTTCTGTTTCCTCCAGCATCCCTGCCACGAGGGCAGGATTGTTTGTGGTTTGTTTACTGCTGTATCTCCAGTTTGTAGGGTAGCGCCGGGCACACAATAGATTCTCAGTAGGTTTTGGTTGAAGATAAATGGATACCCCTGCTCAGATTTCTGCTCTGACCCCGGTGTCAACGTCTGAAATGCCACTGGTGAATCACTTCTCTGGACTGAGCACTGCCAGCTCCAGATGCTGTTCCATGTAAGGTCTGTGCAGCCCTCTCTTATCATCCACACCTCGCTTCAGATTCATCAGTGGCCCTGAGATGGCCTGGCAGGGATACGGTAGAGTGGGTGGCAGGGTGGGCAGTCCATCCATCATCTCATGCTCAGGTGAAGAGATGCCCAGCCAGGGTGCTCAGTGTGGGTCCAGCACAGGATAGACAATCGATATTTTGTTGAACGACTTGAATCACACTAGGGTCTCCACTCGCTGAGAATTAGGGAGCCGGTTTCTGGGGCTCTTGCTCAGGACTTGTGCCAAGAAGAGTTCACTGGCTATTTAGGACTTCCTCTAGTTCCCACCACACCCTGCTCCTTGACCACCCCATCTCAAGGACAGAAACATCTCGAGATGCATGCCTGCCCCTTGGGTCCTCTGGGCAGTGATCCGGTTCTCATTAAAGGAAGGAAAAACTGGAACAAAGAGGAAACTGGAGAGGCAGGAGGCTGGAGCAGTCAGTCCTCAGTGGAATCCTCAGGACTCACCTCCTCCACATTCATTTATTCATTTAACGAACATCCATTGAGGCTCAGCATGCACCAGGCACCAACCTGGAACCTGAAGATCCACGGGGAGACTCCTCACACTGTCCCTCCCTTCAGGGAGTCGCAGCACACAACGCCCAACTGTAGGGTGGCCCTGCAGGGTCTGGGCCTGCCCCCACTCCTTTCCCAACACTCTCTTCCCAGTCCCATGAGCTCTGCGCCCACCCCCACAACACCTCACTGTCATTACTTGCTCACCTGCCTTTCACCCCGGGGCAGGGTGCATTTTTGCCTCAAGATAGGACCTGTGTCTTATCTGCCATTGTGCCCGGTGCCCAACACAGGGCCTGGCATATAGCAGGTGCCCAATAAATGCTCGTCAAGTGATCTGGGGGGGACAACCACCTCAGTTTCAGGAAGGGAGTGTGTTGGGGGAGAATGAGGAGCGTGGCTAGCCATGGAGTATAGAGCCAGATTCAGGAGAGTGAGCAGGTGAGGAGGGGCCCTTCCCCTACCTAGGGCATTTATTCTCACCTACTCAGGGGCCACCACAGAAACTCTCGCCACCTTGGCCACTCTGCATGGGTATTTTCCTGAAGACCTTCTTCCCCTCAGTCCTAGGGCAGAAAAATACATCATTTGCGGGCTGTTCAAGTTTCCTGTACCCCATCCTTGGCTTGTCTTTGGTGGGGTGGGATGGGGGCTCACCCCTGCAGTTTAACTTGAATTGCCTCCTGATCCCCAACCAAAGCAGGGCCAGTAAAACACACCATGACCCTTTTTGGCACTGACAGTCCCCAGGGGATAGAATCTCGGAACCCTGCCACCACGGAGACCCTAACAGCCCGAGGAGGTGGGCACCACAGCCTTCCACCCCTAGAGCAGACTCTGGGGGTAAAACATGTTGATCAAACTGCGATATGCCCAGTGCGGGATGTGCTAAGGATCCACTTGTAGCAATCCCCAGCCCTTCCCAGCACTCTGCCCTCTGCGCCCAGCCTCCGACCCACCCAGCACTCACTGCCTCTCCTCCAAGCACCTGTGCCCGGACCCACCTCTACTGACACTCATCCCCACGCCTCTGCAGGGTCAACTCCAACTTGTTCTCCATGTCTCCATTTCGAGGTTCTCCTTTTCTGGGCAGCCTTCACTGGCCCCCCACTGGGAACCCAGTGCCTCCTCTGGGTTCCCGCATATATGACCTCTAGTGACAATTATACACCCCACTGGAATGAGTTCCTCAGGCTCCACTGAGTCTACTCCACTAGCCTATCTCCATCTCAAAGCTGGTCTCCACCACTCACCAGCTGGGGGACCTTGGGCAAGTCACTAACCTCCCTAAGTGGCCTAGTTTTCTTCATCTGAAGAATGGAATAATAATAAGGGAATTTGAGGATTAAATGAGATGATGCCTGGTGCACTAAAAACTCCATCAACTGCTATTGTTACTTCTCTTGCCCCCTCCCCAGGCATAACAAGGGCCCAGTTTGAGGTCTGTCGATTAAATGAAAGAAGGGACAAAGATACATGTTTGCCTTCGAGGAGGAGGAAGCCCGTTCCTCCTGCTTAGGATGGGGGTGTAGGGAGCACAGGCGCTGAGTCAGGGAAGACCTGCCCTCAGGGTTGGAGGACTCCAAGATCAAGATGGCAGGTTCCTGGAGGCAGGGAGCACCTCAGGTCCAACTCCTGACCTAGGCTCCCCCAGCGATCGCAGCCCAGTGGCCCTTCGATTCTCTATGAGGGGATCCCAGGAGCTCAGGGACCAGGTTGGGTAGGGGAGATTCAACCCCCAGCCCTTCCCAGGCAGCCACTGTCAGTCTCAGGCACTAGAGCACCTGGCTGGCCCCACCCAGGTTCCCAGTCCCGGTGAAGGGTGAGTTGTCCGGCTTCCAAGTGACAGGGCCCACAGGAAGGTGGCCCCAGGACGGGCAGCCACTGTGGGCCTGATTCACAGCTTTCCAGTAAGTGGGTTAACGGGATTCCAGAGCCTCCTGCACGGCCAACCCCTGGAGGCAGGAGCTGTGACTGAGCCTCTGGGCAACCCCCTTGTCAGCCCCCATCTCTCCAAGGCCCTAGGGCCTCCCCAACACCCCATACCCGAACTGTTCACTGCTATGGACCCAGGCCCTGGGTCCAAGCACCTGCCCTTCCTCGCCTGGATCCCCTTCCTTTCAAGTTGTGAAGACCTTTCTCTGCCCCCTCAACCCTCCCTAGTCAATGTCAAGGCCACAGCCTAGGTCCCCTCACCTGCTTCTCTAGAGGCCAAATCCTGGGCCCACAGCTGGAGCCAGGGGTGTCTTGAGCCCAAGATCCAGAGTCTGAGTGTGTCGGGCCAGACCTGAGGCAGGGGTCTCAACTAGAGCCCCCAGTTCCTCTAACGGCTCATTTCCTCCCAGCAGCCCCACCCCCTCCAATGACATACAGCCCCTGGTGGCAGGGACTGAGCCACTCACTGGGGGGACTGGTCTGACAGCATTCCACCTCCCAGGATAAAACCTGGGGTGACCTGCAGAGAACTCGGCACACTCCTGGCAGCCAGCACAGCTTGCCCAGCTGTGACCCCACCCCAACTACCATGCTCCTTTCCAGAACCTCTCCAGCCCGGGGTGGGGGCCGTCTTAGGATGTTAACCTCCCTGCTGCTTCTGGCTCTTACTGGTGAGTCCCAGGGACCTGCTGCCCCTCCCTCTTATCCTCATTCCTTCTCTGCCCCTCCTTGATTACCTCCTCCTCCCTCTCAACTCTGCCACCTGCCCTCCTGATCCTGCCTCCCAAATCCTCTGCTGCTTGTATTCATTCTCTCTCCTCCTCTCCTCTCCTCTCCTCTCACTGTCTTGTTTTGACTGCTCCGTGCATCACTTTTCTTCGTGGCTGTGAGGATTAAATGGAACATTGAAGGGAGGCACTAAGAGGGCTCATACACTTCAGCTCTGTTAGTTTTTATTGAACAAATTCATTGTTGTTATCATCTCCCTCCCTCCTATCTCTCTGGTCTCCTATGACGGTAGTATCCAGGCCTTGAACTTGCGGCAGCGGGGCAGCGAGGGAGAGGTCTGGGTCATTGACTCAGGTCTGGGGGAGGAGGCCTGATAGGGTTAGGTGTGTGTGCCCCTTATTTTCAGTGAGAGACGCCCCAGGAGTTGGTGTCTCGTCTATCAGCAGGTTCTTTGGATCCTGGGCACAAGCTGGACAGGAAGCTGGTGGGAGGGGTAAGGCTCAACTTAGAGTGAGGGCATGAAGATTCTGTCTGCCTTATCCAGGCTCCAGGAAATGCCTCTCCAGGAAGGCCTAGAGACCCAGGAATGAGAGACTGGATAGGGTTACTAGGCACGGAGAGGGGTGCTTCTCTCCACTGGACATTGGGGGGCTGCCTCTTCACTGGACAATGGGGCCTCTCCACTGGCCTGACCCTTTCTTTCTCTTGTCCTCAGCCACCATCAATGCTGCCAAGACTCCTGGTGAGTAGGAACCGCCCTGAGGGGAGGGGAAATGGAAGAAGCCCAAAGGGGAGAGCAGCGTCTGTGTGTCTATCTGTGGGGAGCATGTCAGAGGGGGCAGTGGGGCAAGAGAGGGTGTTGAGCTGGAGGGAAGGCAGGAAATGGGAACCAGAGGGCAGAGCAGAGACCGAGACACGGAAGAGAGGCCTGAGTGCAGCTGGAGCCCAGGAGGGCGAGTGGCTGAGAAGGTGGAAGGCGAAAGGAATAGAGTCGTGGGCAGGGCTGAGAACCAAGTGAAGGGGGAAAGGCCAGTCAGAGGAAGGACAGGGCGGGGGAAAAAATAGCCAAGGAGGGGGTACATGGAGGGCAGGAGGGCAGAGAGAGAGGCGGTGGAGCACGGGCCCAAGTATTCGAGGAGGGTGAAGAGAAAATAGAAAGGGAAGAGGACTGTGCTGAGGGAATGACAGAAAATGTGATCTTCCTCCGCCAGTCCCCCCAGCCTGTGGGAAGCCCCAGCAGCTGAACCGGATCGTGGGTGGCGAAGACAGTGCCGACGCTGAGTGGCCCTGGGTCGTGAGCATCCAGAAGAACGGAACCCACCACTGTGCAGGCTCCCTGCTTACCAACCGCTGGGTGGTCACCGCTGCCCACTGCTTCAAGGAGTATGACAGCCAGTTTCTTCCACTTGAGTCCCCAGCTTCCTGCCCCAGACCCAGACTCCTCACATAGCCCCAGCTTCTAGGCCCTGGTCCAGTCTGAGACCCCTCTGGAGGGACCCTGCTTCTTCCCAGAAGCTTCTTTTTCTTTCGTGGGCCTCCTTGTGTATGCAGTTCTCCAGACCCCCTCCCAGACCCTTTCTGGCCACCCATGCTTCCTGGCTGACTCTGCCCCCTTCTCTCTTTCTTCTAGCACTCTGAACAAGCCAACTCAGTTCTCCGTGCTGCTGGGCGCCTGGCAGCTGGGGAACCCTGGCCTGCGATCCCAAGAAGTGGGTATTGCCTGGGTGCAGCCCCACCCTGTGTACTCCTGGAGGGAGGGCTCCCGTGCGGACATTGCCCTGGTGCGCCTCGAGCATCCCATCCAATTTTCTGAGCGAATCCTGCCCATCTGTCTGCCTGATTACTCCGTCCACTTCCCTCCGAACACCGACTGCTGGATTGCAGGCTGGGGGAGTATCTCTGATGGAGGTGCGTTTCTTCCCCCACCGGGTGGTTGGGGACAGATGGGAACAGATGGGAACAGATGGGGACAGATGGGAACAGATGGGGACAGAGCGTGGTAGACATTCAGAGACATAAGTGCCATGGTAGCAAAACATAGAGGCCAGAGGCAATATATGTCAGAGACAGACAAAAAGATGAGCTGCAATCCAGAGATGTGACATCATAGAAGCCTAGGTGGACAATTTTGGGTCATTTTTTGTTCTGAGGCAACAGCAGCCAGATCAACGAAGCTATTAAGTGATCTAGGAATGGCTGAAAGGAGGCATATGTTGAGGCCAAGGAAAATACCATCAATACAAAAACAGCCCTGAGAAATGGGAATAGGCACCCCTGGTGGCAGCATGCCATAACTGCAGGCAAAATTCCCAGGAAGAAATAGTCTCTGTAACTGTAAGATATAATCGTCGAACTAAGTATGGAGGTTTGGAAAACACCATTTAGAAACACGAAGCAGATTAGATGAAGTAAGAGGCAGTGAAACAGAAAATATAGATAGGTAGATAAACAGAGCGACAAGAGAGAGACACACAAGAAGGACAAAGTATATGAGAAAAATGGGACTTGAACTAGATTCCAGAAGGCTTAAGAGAAATGACACCAGTTTAGGTGTCTGATGCTGAGGTTGCATCCAACCTCCCCATGGTTCTCCCTTGGGTCTCCTGTGAGAACTAGAATTGTGGACTGGTGAGGGTTTACAATCCCTCCAGGCTGTGTGTGTATGTGTGTGGGTTTCCTCAAGTCCTGATGACATTCAACACTGAATGGTTATTTATCGAACACTTAACCTGCCACAGTCTCCATGCTAAATAAAGTAGTGCCTGAGACAGGACAAGCCTACATCGTCGGTTCTAAACATTTTGTGGGCATCAGAGAGCTTGTTAACAATTCAGAGCTTCAGGCTGCAAATTCATGCTTGGATTTAATAGGTTTAGAGGTGCAAGCTTGGAATTTGGGTTTTTCACAAGCATCTTGGGAGAGCCTGACAGTTGATCTAGTAGCCTTTGAGAAACGGCTGAGGGGAATGGAGGAGGGAATTGAGAGAAGGCAACCAGGAGATCTTCCCAAGCCTGACTCTCTCCTCCCTGCTCCCAGTGCCCCTGGCCCACCCTCAGACCCTGCAGAAGCTGAAGGTTCCCATCATCGACTCAGAAATCTGTGGCCGCCTGTACTGGCGGGGAGCTGGGCAGGGAGCTATCACTGAGGACATGCTGTGCGCCGGCTACCTGGAAGGGGAGCGGGATGCCTGTTTGGTGAGCACCTTACCTTCTTTCCAGCCCTGCTCTACTGAGCTCTGTCACTGACCGCAGGGCTTCTCCCAGAATCAGCTGTGACCAGCAGCCCCCATAGGTGCCTTCGGAACTGGCTTGGGCTCAGCCACTCATCCATCTGTTCATACATCTAGTGTATACTGAGCATGTCAGGTGTCCAGACCCCACTCCTGGGGAGCCTGCATTCTCTTGAGGGGGCCCCACGTCCTGGTCCCCAGGGCCAGCTACAACTCCGTCACCGTGGTGGAGGATGGCAGGGTAGTGTGATGGTCAACACCTGGGCTTGTATGTTGTGAGACTTGGTTACAATTCCTACTCTGCTGTCCATGGTCGGCAGCTTGGACAAGTCATTTCTACTTTCTGAGCCTCAGTTTCCTCAAATAACAATACTCCCCACCTCACCTGTGAGGGAGGAGGTCTCGCAGTGTGCTTGTCATCAGAAGTGAGCCCTGGAGGCATGTCTTTCCCTGCTGTTCTGGCCTAGGTGGATGGAGTTTGGGTGCCACGGCCTTCTCTGGGAGGGTGAAATGCCCCCCCCCCCAAGGGAACCGATTGCCACCCGCTGTGTCAGGATCTGGGCTCTCCCCACTCCCTGCCCCACGTGAGTCCCTAACCTGCCCTCCTCCGCAGGGCGACTCCGGAGGCCCCCTGATGTGCCAGGTCGAAGACACCTGGCTGCTGGCAGGGATCATCAGCTGGGGCGAGGGCTGTGCAGAGCGCAACCGGCCCGGGGTCTACATCAGCCTGTCCGCCCACCGCCCCTGGGTGCAGAGGATCGTGCAAGGGGTGCAGCTCCGCGGACACTCGCGGGGAAGCCAACGGCGCGGGTTAAGGATCCGGAGACAAACAGCTGCAGCTGCCCGAGGCGCCCCAGCCGCCTGACCACGTGGTTTTCTCCGTTGTAAAAACGCCATCTACCTCTGGGGGGCGCCGGGTGACGGTACAGGGTCACCTCTGCTGCCGCCGTCGCCCCCGACCCGCGTTCGGGCTCCACCCCGGGGCTGGAAACGCCTCTGTGTATATACATGTTAATGATTTTTACAGTTATTTGTAACCCTCCCCGCATAGTTTATTTATTCCCCCAATTTCAATAAATTATTTATACCCCAGTTTCTATTTTTTCACTGTGTATGGGGACACTGGGAAGCAGGGGTCCACTTGGGGTTAAAATGGGGGCAGGCAGGCATCCTGACCACCTGGGGTTTAACATCCTGTCCCCTGATCTTTGCACTGTCCCGGAGAGGAGGCAGGAGGCCCTGCCACGTGAAAGGCGCCTGGGGGGTGTGGGGAGTGGGAGCTACAGTGCCCTGCCTGCTGGGTTTCAAGCAGGGCTGGCTGGGAGAAACCATCCCTATGAGAGTGGGTGGCTCCTCCCCTCCCCTTGCGCTCAGAGCCTCATCTCCTGGATTTGGGCTGAGGCAGCCGTGCCTCCGCACCCTGAGAAGCTGACTCACCAGTGACTCACTTCTGATTTTGTGAATCCTCCCTGCGGAGGAAGGAGCACAACAATGAGACAGCAGGCCTCTAGGGCCTGCCTCATCTCGGGTTGAGTCACCTGCCTGTGCTCGCTCACAGGCCACCTGGAGCGAGAGCCATATCCCAGGCCACAAGGGGTCGCCTGGCTGCCTGCCCTGAGGACCCAGCAAACACTCCAGTTCCCGAGGACGGCCGTTCCCACTGCACACTCTTCTGCAGGGAGGCCTCTGCTCCCGGACCTGCCCTGCCTTCCTCCCCCAGCCTGCCCCCCACATCAGGAACCCTGTCCTAGCCCACTTGGGCGTTCCGGAAATAGGAGATTTCATTCTAAAGGAGTTTCATTCTAAAGCAAAGTCAAAAAAACAACTAGGCCCAGTCATTCTTAAAAGAGAGAAGTCTCCAACCAGAACTGGTCAGTGAAGTAAGTTTTGGAGAAGGCAGTGCAGGTTCTTGTTTGTTTTTTGGTATCCTTTATTGGGAATACTGTTTTAAAACATTTGTTCATGTTGTTTTCATTACCCTTGGGTTATTACCAGATTGCAGTAGTGCTGTGGGTTTGGTTTTATTAGAAAAGCAAACAAACACTAAACTGGCCTCCTGCTCACCTAGGAACCAGCCTGGGGAGTCAGTGGGTGGCTCAGGTGAGAAACAAATCCTGGGGCCTCCCCTTTGTGACCTAGTCCCCATTCTACCTCTCTTGTCATCTTACCCTCCTCTCTTGCCTTCAATCCCCCCACCTCATTTGCTACCCTGGCCCCTCCCTCAATTTTCCCGTCTTACAGGCTCCCTCTCTGCTCTTCGCACCCCCACCTGCTAACCTCGAGGACCCTGTCCCTCATTCTTTCTCCTTCTCCCTGTCTCCATCCTTCTGTCCTCCTCTCTGCCCCACAGTTTCTCCCATTCCTGTGTGTCTACCATCCTACCCTATCCCTCCCCTTCGATAAACAGAAGAGCCCCTTCAAGTGGCCCTGACAGAAGCCCCTGAGAATGCGAAGCCTAGAAACATCTTCTGGCAGAGAAAAGTCATGCCATCAATGGCAGAACACTCCTGGGTGAGGTGGGTTTTCTCTGAGTTGGGCGATCAGCCTCCAGGGAGCCCCTGATCCTGAGGGCACCCCCATCCTCCTCAGGAGCCTGAGGGACACACTAAGCCTGGAGTGGAGAGTAGACATTGGGCTCCGAAGTGCGACAGGATTTCCAAAAATCCTCTTCCCCAGTTGGGGATCGGGGGTCCAGGAGGTCAGCCTAGCCCCAGGAGAGTCCACTCTAGGGTCACAGAGGTGTTCCTTTGCTCCTTGGTTGGAGGTGGGCCCAGGAACACACCCCAAACCTGAACCACTCTGGGTGGGAAAGCCTCACTGCTTTGGCTCCACTAATACAACCTGCCTCTGGAGACGTTCGGGCCTGCCAGCTGTCTCTTCCAGGGGAAGTCTCATGGGGCCCAGTTCCATCCTGAGCTCTCAGACAGATGTCTCCACTCACCTTCTGACCTCGGAGAGTCCTTTGTAGAATCCTCCTTACCTCCCCAAGGGCAGGGGTGGAGACCATCTGGTCACAGTGACAATTGTGACCAGCAGGAACTACTTTAGCTGCAGGATGTGAGGTCTGACTATGGCTCCTTCACAGCTCCTTCCTCAAACCTTTAACCCTTGAGGAGACTTTCCCTCCCACACCTGGGACGTCCCAACTCTTCCCCACTCTGCATCCAGAACAAGTATAAAAAAATACACATTTAACCCCCAACTTCCTTGAGGTGGCAGACTCCTTCGGTTGGCTAAGCCAACACCCATTCCAACCCCCATCGCTTGCTTCCTCCACCTTAGAGACTGGAAAGGTAACTGCTCATTTTCACAATCTCCAGCATGGTCACGAATGCCTGTGGGACTGAGTGTTGGCCAATGAAGTTGAAGTGGGTATCTGATGGGTGGTTTCTTGGGAAGACTGTTTCTTCCTGATAAAAGGGACATATTCAGCTGGCATTATCTTTTCTACCTTTCTCCCTCTTCTAGTCTTGGATGCAGGGGAAGAAACCAAACTCAAGAGGTTATATACTGTATGGTTCCATTTATATGACATTGTGGAAAAGGCAAAACTATAGGGACAGAGAGCAGATCGGGGGGTGCAGAGGTTGGGACGGGGGAAGGATTGATCACAAAAGGGCATGGAGGGTATTCTGTAGTGATGGAACAGGCTCTGTATCTTCACTGAGGTGGCAGTTACATGACTGGATACATTTATCAAACTTATAGGACTATAAATTAAAAATGGCGAATTTTACTATGTATAAACTATACCTCCATAAACCTGATTTTAAAAAACCAATAACACAAAAATATAAAGTCCTCCTCTCTTTCTCTCATTCTCTAAATTCAAGCCACCAGCAAATTCTGTTGGTTCTATTCTATCTTTGAAGCATGTCCAAATCTGGCCCCTTCTTCCCAAGCTGGCCCAAGCCACTCTCCTCTTTACCCTGGATTTCTATAATAGACTCCAAACTGGTCCCCCTACTTCTTCTGTTGCTCCCACCTGTCTATTCTCAACATAGCAGCCAGAGTGATTCTCTTAAAACCTAAGTCATATCATGTCATTCTTCTATTCAAAACCCTCTGATGGTTCTTCACTTTACTCAGAGGAAATGACATAATCTTTCTGGCCTCCTTCTCACCTCTCGCCTCCTTACTCCCCGTGCTCAGGCCCCACTGGGTCCCAGCTGTGTTCTGGAACACAACAAGCATGCTCCTGCCTCAGGACCTTGGCACTTGCAGTTTCCTCTTCCCCCACATGACTGCATGGCTCACTCCCTCACTTCCTACAGATATCTGCTCAGATGTCACCACACCACCATCCTGTTTACAAGAGTAGTGTCCTCCCCCTCCCCTCACGCTTCTTTCCTTGCTTTCTCTTTTTTTCGGGACATTGATTACATGTTACATATTGTATTTTTTTTTCTTGTTCTCTGTTGATTGTTCCTTCTCAAACACACACAACTAGAAGGTAAACCTCTGTCCCTGTATTTGTCATATTCTGTTCTTATTGTCTGTTTACTAGACTATCTTTCCCAAGAAATATTCTGAGTTTATTAGGAGTTAGATCTTTACCTGATTCACCTTGGTATAGTCAGTGCCCAGAAAAAGGTCCTGGCAAAACAGCAGATGTTATAAATGTTTCGTGAGTCAATGGTAAGAAGTATCATCTATTTCATCAGTTTGGTGAACAATGTTGACATATCTCTTTTGTTTCTCTAATGAATCACTCAAACACCACGTTTTCTCATTAGCAGAGGTCCATTCTCTCTTGAGACTGCCCCTACTCCGTCCAAGAGTCCTAGGGGTTTACTTGGTCCGAAGGGACCAGTCCTACGAGAACGGGAAGGGCATTACTCCTTCAATTAAGTTCCATTGATTGGGTCAAGGTCAAGTGGTGATGTTGATGAACAGGGCCCCCCACAGTCTGACAGACCACCCTCCATCCCACTCCATGCCTTTGTGACACTCTTGCTCATCTAGCTCACTGCTGGCCCTCCTCTGGTGTTCTACATTTGAGACCTACAGTTGCAGGCCTTGAAGGTCATACTCACAGGCTTAGTCATCATTTCCCAGCACAGAGAGCCTAAGTGGCCATGTCAAAGAGCTTCTAGCCTCAGTCATATGCTGTACTCAAGCCCTTATATACTTGTGCTGACCCTGGATCACTTGGGATTACTTCTTCACAGGACCAGTTGGGACTCTTAATTCGTCAGAGAAATTCCGATAATATCAAACCTCACTAAATTGAACTGGTCTTCTAACTATTTAATTTAGTTATTTTATGCTTCATTCACCATTGAATTTCTCCCATTTTTTTGTATTTTTCTCTGGTTGCTGGATTTTACATTCAGTCCCTTTAGTCGCTTTAAGTTTCCCACATCTGAGAAATATTTTTCAAATTTCCTGTTTTGTGATGATATGAGCTCCAGGAAATGCTACTAATATTTACCTACCTAGCTTGTGTATCATGGTGTGTAGCCAAGAGATACTGCATTTAATCCACCTACCAGGAAGTAGTGGCCATTTCGCTGGGTACCCCATAAAGGCTGTAAGGATAGAGTTCCTTTTAAAATTGCTGCTAGGCCCTATGCAAATTTACTCACACCATCATCAGATTTGCATATCAAAGGGTCTCAGAATGTCAGCTCAGGCCTTAAAGGTGCACAAACAAAAGGTCCTATCACCTCTTTACCCCACTACAGTGGTGCTCATTAGACTAATATTAGCACAACTCCGGAGGTGATCCTCACATGATTCCACCCCAAATTAAGGTAGAATGAGGCCATGTTGGTGGGCCCTAATCCTATAGGATTGATATCCTTACAAGAAGAAGAAATCTGGACACAGACCTGTGCCCTGCACAGAAGAAAGACCATGTAA